TCAAATTTTCGCGAATTTCTGAAAAATAAAAATTCGCTGGAACCTTTAAATATGATTTTTAGAATTAGGTAACCTAAGGGTATCTTTGGGCAAAGTATGAGCGATTTGTCAAATGGAACGTTGACCGGCGTTTCTCGATCCTAACAGTCAGCCATTCTTAATATGTTCCACAGAATCGCAGTAAAGGTCTAAGCTGTTCAGTTGAACGTCTGTCGCACTCTGTGATGTGACTGCCTTATTTCGTGGTTAACGAGGCAGGTTCTATATAACCAAGCACAGAGCTAATTTAGCTCCTCTAAGATGTAAGAACTTGAAGCACATCGGAGATTTTCTCAATATCTTTTAGTCTTCCTAATAATTCGGGCGTCAATGAATCTTAAATGCTACCAAGTCAATCACCGTTATCACAAACATTAGCTTGTTAAATTCCAGTGTTTCTTTGAGCTAGCTTCTCAGATAAACCCAAATGAATACTTACTTGGTATTTGGTCTATGGGATAACTATAAAGAAAAGAAAAACAAGGTTTAATTGAGAAGGTAAGGAGATAGCTCGATGGCCAGGATCAGGCATTCAGCTAGTGAGCGAAATTAACAGCAGTTCTCTTTAAAATAACGTTTCCGAGGAAACCTGGCTTAGAAAAGGTTTGCCCTGTACTATAACTAATTGTAATCTAAGCTACGGGAAGTATCGAAGAGGAGACACGTGAAAAGAGCAAAAGTTCGATGGTGGTGTGTGGTGTGGTGGGTTGGGATGGCACATGGCAACTAAAAGTGCATAGGCGCCTCCACACATGGAGATAGGGAAAATACGAAGTAAACAAGGCTGATATCAAGTGCCTGCGGAAGGATTGAACTATGAACAGGATTTTATAAGTTGTTCTTCACACTAAATTGAAATCTCGATGAGTTTATAGAGTAAATTAAAACACTTACGTTAGGATCTGATCCCCTCCATCCATTAGCTAAACCTGCAGTAGCTGCGAAATAAAAAAAAGTGAAATAATCTTATCGAGCGGATAGAACGCGCGAGACCCTAAAACATGATTTTGTTCTGAAAAAGCAAACTGATAGAAAGATTATCGAAACAAATAAATGTTCAAAAATCATACACAACATGCAGTTTATGAAATCTGATCAACTTTTATCTAGCCACCACCTAATTGGTTGAGGTTGTCTAGCACGATCAGCACTCTAGGGTATATGCATGCGTGAATGTTAAAGAAGACTCTGGATGGCTTTTACAACTCTCCTGATCAGACTTTGCTATTTTTTTCTGTACTCTACCTCTGTGAGCAAAGGAAAATTTTGCCCTGGCTGGTAATTGTGGCGATCGGGGACTCCCTGGTGACCCGTAAGTTGTTTCTTCACAGATTGGCTGTTGACTGCAAAACACCAAAACACTTAAAACCAAAGAATATGGAGTATGTAACATAAAAGTTTGAATTGATATACGGTACTTAACCACTGTTTTAATAGCCTGCGAGCAAGCTCTTCGCGGGGAAAGAAAGGAGAGGAAATGGGCTCTACTTTCTTCATATTAAAAAAAAAACAAAAAAAAACAAAAAAAGAAAACAGAATTACTGATATACTTACTCAAATTGTGATTGCATTCTGGTGTAAATCTGAAACAAAAACATTCAGGCGTTCACTCACTTTCTCTGGATCCAGTTTGTTTCCCTTTTATCAATGAGTTGTTTTTGTGATCACTTTTTTATTCACAAGAATGATCAAAATTGCATTTCTCCTTACAATACAAATACGCTGTCAACCACACATGTGATGAGAAAAAAGAAAATGATCCTCCAGGGTTAGAAATTAGAGCTATGAGCCAGGGATAACGTCTTTATATAGTACTTACTATAATCGATATTTTGACTGACGAAGGTTGGGTTCAATTTCTTGGCAATGAAACATAAAACAAAATATTCATCACATTTGAGAGAACTTACGTTTGGATCTGAGCCACGTCTTTCACCCATTCCCTGCTCACCTGCAATTTTGCGTAAAGAACACAGTCAAACATTTCAAGCCAAGGCTGCTGAGATATAAGGGATCGTATCGCTGTGCCCCCTTATGACAGACAAGCAGCGAAGCAGCTAGACAGAGAATACCATTGTTTTTTCCCTCGATGAGATGCTTGTATGCCCAAAATTCGGCCTTACCCATTTTTGAAACTGCGTGGGTTTAATTAAGCATTGCAGCACAACGAACGCGAAATAGACTTGAGCTCTGAGGCTAGTCATGCATAAGCTTATGACCAAGTGAATGAGTTATGAGCATGCCGTTACTCCTCACACAAAGACAATCTCAAATAGACATAGATCGGATTTGAATGTTCTGATGTACATTTTTTCTAGAACTCTAAAATAACTGTACATACCCAAGAAGAATCTGGGTGAAAGAGGTGACTGCGGAGATCTTGGAGACCTTGGCGGAAGCGGGGGGGCGTTACCGCATGTAGGGATGTCGTGGATGGAGTGCCGTTTATTGTCAAGACAGTGGTGCTTTGGGGGTAAGGCGGGCGCTCTTTCGAAATCCTTACGGGGCACGTCATAAATCAGCTCTTCTCTATGCTACAAAAGGAACAACACACACAGCTGGTCAGTATCGGCGATGAAAATTCACTTCCTATATAGTTGCAGGCTGAAAAGGCTCGCGGGGGATCGTGGGGCTCGTGGGGCTAACGGCCACCTCCCTACAAGACCCCACCTCTCTACAGCGGTCTTTTGTTTCGTCCCGGCGGACGGTTCATGCATCATTCTTATTTAAACTTTCTACAACGGTTATATCTCCACAACGACAACAGCCACTAAAACGCGTCCCAACTGCCAAAATGACCTCTCCACATGTACAACGGCCAGATAATCAACGACTAACGAATGGTGTATACAAAATCCCATTTTGTATACACGTCACGAATCGCGGGTCTCTATGTCTGTTTGGTTTCTGTTTTATTGATATATTTTGACTGTGTTAGGTATCTCGATGCTACAAAGAACACTTTTAAATATACAAATGTTGTACCCCCCGGAAAAACAGGTGTCATGTTACATCCCTACCTCCCCTTAGCGGCCATCTCTCTATAACGGCCACTTTCATCTGTCCCCAAGGTGTCCATTGTAGAGATGTTTGACTAGATAAGAATTTATCTAGTTAATACTAAATGAAGTAGCTAGTGATTCTTGCTACTTTAGAGAAAATAAAATTACTTTGTATATTACGAAATTACCTCTCTAGCACTCCTCTGAATGAATTTACTGAATGCTTTTGCCGTTTCCTCGCTAATATCACTATTTCTCCAGCTTTGATTGACAGCTTGTTCTGCTATATGAATTGCTTTCCAAATTTCAGAAGTCATCGTTTTCTCTGATGAACAACGCAATAGATAGTACTAATTAAAAAAAAAACAATTCGAATTTAATACATGCAACAGCTAAGTCGTGTGTAACTTTGTTTACTAAACACAGCACTACTAAAACGATTCCTGAATGGGAACTGAGAGCTTTTTTAATCAATCAAAAATGCGGTGTTGCAATCATTCGATATCTAACTTACCGTTCTCTTGATTTTCAGGTCGTGACATTCTCACATAGTCATATTCTTCATCAGGCTGATCTAGAGGCATTTTTGGGTCCATCTCTATGTAATTCTCTTGATTATCCTGATCATAGTTGTTGTTGACTTCCATCTCAGTTGAGGGGATATTTTTTGTATGCATTCGTTCGTTTGCCTTAAAAAAAAGAAATATGAAAAGAGATTTTAGTGTTTCCATAGTATATCTGTTCGCTTATTTGTTACCTTGAATTCATTGTTCTTCGCCTGAATGTTCTTTTAAGCAACCAATGTCAAAAACAGAATTGCGCGATTTTGCTGGTTTGTGCTTACTTTCAGAAATCCTTTCTGATTTAGTTCATAAAACCCTGTCCGCATACAATATTTTATGAAGCGGACCAAATTTATGCCAATTAACATACCAATTATTCATAAAACTTTGGGGGTAAACGAGATAGGAAGACAAAAAAAAAATTGGTATTCAACAAATCATAGACTAGTATCAAGCTTGTCAACCTCATAATGCACGTTTTTCCTCTTTGTAAAGAGCTTTCTGTTCTAAACAGTTTGATCGTTCGAGCGTAAGGGCTGTTCAAACGACCTCCATGTTTGTTGCATATGGCGAGTGCCACCTGAGGAGAGTATACAATCTACCCACCCCCTCCCCCCCACCCCTGTATATTTGGATCTACTCTTGCAATGTCTCTTTCGCCATATGAAAAAATAAACAAGGTGGCCGCCGCGATCAGAAGGCCAACACTAGGAGCGTGCAACTCCCATACTAAGCCTATGTCATGACATTTTTAAGGACTGGTCTATTTTTAGGCCTCTTTTACCGCGAAATAGGTCAGTTCCAGTCTACATGAGCGCGCATCGGTGGGAAAAAAAACGTTTTTCTTTTTAATCTTCCGGTGAAATTATGACGTCAGTGATTTGTCACCGAGGTTCCTGCGGGGGTCTGAATTCGCGGTAAGTTCAAACTAAAAATAGGTCTGTGAAAACGCTGTGACAGGAATATGGGGTAGTTGCTCGCTCCTAGCGATGGGCTCCTGGTATGACCACTTGACAGAAAATAATCGACTTTAAACAGTTTACTTATAAGCTGGCTTAAATTCGTTCAAGGGCAAAGTCACCTCAAAATCTTGTAGATCTTCTGATATTTCGAAGTGTCCATATTTCTCTGCTAATTCCTTTGGGCACATGCCGTGTTTATTTTGGAGTGCGCACGCCTGTCGTGCCGCTGGGCAGTACTGTAGGCACGCCGCTACGGCACGCTTGAGTCCGTGGGCAGCTCCAAAGTGAATAAGAGTGGGGTATATGGTTCTCGACTGACCTGAAACTGATTCAGATGTGATGATAGTTATTGAAAACGTTGTACTTGCCGGCAATTAACAACAAGGGGGCATCAGAAAAAGACAATAACACTAACGAATCGAAAACAGCCTACAAGAAAATTAGTACAAAATTATTACATATTTACATAATGACGCATACTAAACTTGTGTTATAACTATAGTATCAGGAAAGTATTCAGTTTTATTAAAATCTAGATCATTGGATAAATGGAACTAGAGAGTTTTCATTGGCTTAGCCATCATGGGTTATGAGCCATTATACCATGCTCTACAAATATGGTAAACGTAGGCGCGAGTTTTTGGGACGTTTTTATTTTTATTCTAGTCTAGTTTTCTATATTTTGGAAGCGTTTTTACGAAAACAATCATTCCACTCGCGCTTGTTGGATCTGAGATGACTATAGCTAACTCGGCGCTAGGCGCTTCTTTGGCTCTCTACCATCTCAGATCCAAAGCGCGCTCGTGGAATAATTGTTAAATAAAACTGAAATGAAGATACGATACGATAAGATTTACGTTACAGCGACTAGTTTCTGAAAGAACTTGACACTTTTAAACTAAAATCAGCTGAACGTAGCTTATAAGGTCATATAATAATAATAATAGTAATAATAATAATAATAATGATAATAATAACAAGGACTTATAATAATAAAAATGTTTATTCGTGGCTTCTAAAAAATTACAACTGTAAAAATTCTTAGGACAATATATATGCCAGGGAAATACTAACTTACAAACGAATTACAAATTACACTCATTCTTTACAACCCTTATAAATTTGTCTATTATCATTTGTCGAAAAAATTTAAATAAGAATAGTAAAAAATACTCTACACATTTAAATGGAAAAACTCTACTTTAAAAATACACTGTAGCTATATGCAGGTCCACTTCTTATTATTAATAATAATAATAATAATAATAATAACATTTATAATGCGCAAATTTCATAAAATGTTCAAATGCGCCTGACAAGATTAAAAAGGGAATAAAAAGGCTAAAAAGGTAAAATTACAATTAAAAGTAAACTATAACCAACCTTCCACTTGTCCGGTTTGGGGAATCTCAAGCAAATGAAACTCATGGGGAGACTTCTGCTGAATTTTGCGAGCAATAACCTCGTCAACCATTGTAATGTTAGCTGTGGAGACCCCAAGCGAATCACAAAGCAGCTGCTTTGGACAAGTGGCTTTTTCCAAAAGTTCATCGAGCACCTGACTCCTCGAGAAAAACTCAAAAGAACACCGAGCGATGGAGGGCTCGTGTTCCTTGAGTTTATCGTAAATGCTAACGATGGTAGTTTCCGGCGGGTAGTACACTGCAAGTTAAACGTAAATATAACATCGAGAAATTAAAAGGATAAAAAAGACAGCGGAGAATTCCAGTAACTAATATCAAGCTGTGTTTTCTACCTTTTGGACAGGACAAGCATTTGTATAGCACCTGGGGATGACGATGTTGTGTTCATGCGATACAAGGGAATGGTCTTGTTTAATAACCAAGCTTGTTGGAGACTGCACTTGGAGAATATGAGATTAAATGCAATATACAGAAAATAATATTAATAGAAATTAAGCTACATGGTCAGAGGAATTGAGAAATATTGAAATGCGTTAAGACAGGGCCATTCAAATGAATAAATGTTACAGTTAAATGTGTTGCAAAATCTAGAAATACATAATTACTGGCCATATGAGGATGTGGTGTATCCTGTTACTTAGCACAGTGTCTGACCAAAACAGAGACATTGAAGTGTTACGTGAGATGAACATTTTACCGTACCTGGCGCATGCACCTGAATAACACAGCTGTTCAGTAGGACAGCAGGCACTTTTAGACAGTGTTGTTCTCCTTTGAACTCTACTTCATAGGGACCGCTGTCCACAAGAAGCGGCTTGTTGAAAATGAATAAAACACTCTCTTTTGACTGTTAAAAATAGAGTCAATTTATAGCGTTAGTTTAACTAAGCCGTAGGTGGTAGGAATAAAGTTTTGTATTCTTTTTGCCTATCTTAATGTTCCCTTTCAATAGATTTTTGTCCCGTTATTTTAAAGTGACTTTACAGTTAAGTTCCTTTTATCATTTTTTTTTTTTTTTTTGCGATTTTGCGCTTTTTAAACTAAGTCAATTGTGGTCATTTTCTTCTCAGCACACAAAAAAGTCCATCATGTCCATCATTGGGAATTCAAATTTTTTGGTAGGAAAAATAGAGTAGCTATTTTCTCCCCTAGCCCTCTCCCTGCTAGTCAACCAGACTAAACAAAGACCGTGCTACGTAGACGCACTAATAAATCATTAAGTTCCTAGCAGTTTTCTAGTTCTCGCATTAGGTCGAATACTCTACACAGAACTACGAAATGAACAAACGTAGCCACTTTCTTTAGAATCCTGTACAAGTATACGTATTTAAGGCAGGTTTTGGAATCATTTACAATTAAGTAATTAAATTTTGATTATAACTTCAGTGTTTAGTTGTAAATTCCTTACATCATATTGAGTCTTCTTTGGAGACACAGCAACAAGCTGCCTGATCTCATCTGCAAGACATAGGGAAATAACGTTATAAACATCTTTACCTGCCTCACGCTGTCTCGAACAATTGATGTTTAACGTTTTCTCGTTCTCGCACTACCGTTATTTCGTAATACTCTTAAATGTAACAAACCTCATAACCTGAAAAGTTCAGGCGTCATTTTGCCGAATTTGGCTTTTCTTGATATCCTGAAAGTAATTTTGTAGGATTCTGCCCTTGCATTAACAGAAAAACACATGAAAGCGCGTTAAGACAAGAAAGACATTTGTTAATTTGGTGTTCATACCATATATGCATTCTGTATCCTCCATATTGTCAGTGGTCTTACAACAATTTTGCGGTGCACTTATCGATCTTCCTCTCTGTAATGCAAAGAAAATAAGAAGAATAGGTTAGTCAGTACAAGGTAAAAAGAAATTTTCCCGAAATTTTGAGAACCTCAGATGCCTATCGAAAATGACAATTCGGTAAATTTCGCAGATGGAGGCAAAAATTCTAACTTGAAAGAGACATTTATTTGCTCGGTAAATAAAGTTCTCACTGGTCTCTGATATCTGCCGTGACGTCATGTGCAATTGGAAATGGATCAGTTAATACACTTCAACCACACTTAATTATTCTTTACGCAACTATTTCATGAATATCTGATCATCAGTCGATCAAACTTTTGTTTTGAATAAAAATACATTTTCATGTTAAGCAGTTTTCAACCAGTATCATGTTGCATCGCGTTTATGTTCGTTTATTGGGGGTAAACTTCATAATTATTAGAATCGCTCGTCGTATGTTCTGCGAAACTGCTACATTTCGCTTTCTAACCCAGACAGGATTGCTGTTATTAAGATCTCATCCGCTTTTGCTCCTAGCTCTGGTTCATGAGCTGCTCAATGTCTGCACTTAGTTATATGATTCTATTTAATTTGACTCGATCGAAATAATGTTCTGAAATTTCACTCGGAATGTGACAAAGTTCAGACACTCGAGCTCTGTGTAATCGATGAAGATTCTACGCTGAATTGAATTCTGGTCGATATGAATAATAAATCGTCTCTTCTACTACTACAACGTACAGCTCGTATCTTGATTCGTTGCACATCTTGAATTCTTCAAAAGGGAAGCCAATTTTGATGTCGAACGTAACACAGGAAGTCGTCGTGTAAAATATTTCTCATCTAAGTTAATTTGAGGTTTCTTGTGTAACAATCCTTTCCCCTGAGGGAGATCACAAGCCGGTAGCTGGTCGCTTCCTGCTTTAATCGCTATCTTAAGCCTCAAAATGAATCAGCAATCTCTGTTAGAGTAGGAACAGTTCTTCATTTTGAGAGCCGTGTTTCAGCCGGTCTGAATTTCATAATAACGAAAGCCGTGCAAGTCTGTTTATTGGTGATCGGAAGTTGTAATTACGATGCAAATAAAGTCTCCAACTATTGAGCCAACTCACCTCGTGAAAATCAGTTCAGACCGACGATGAGCGGGACCATTTGCAGAAAATGGCGTTTCACCAGCCAGTGAAAGGTCCCTCTAGAACTTTAAAGTCGTAGTTACACAGTTCTGGTGAACCTGGTGATAACAGCTTGGAACCAAAAAAAATTACTGTTGTGTTTTCGTCACGGTGATTTAAGTTATTGAAATTGTCTCTGGTCTCTTGCGCAGACCAATGAAATACAAGGAATCGAGAACAGTCCGTCCGAAAGTAGATAACAATTCGATATCATGCTAACACCGGAAGCTGTAAGCTAAAAAAAAAACCTCTCATTAGGACAAATAAGTTAAAATGTCTTGTCCACTGTACACAGCTGAACGACGAGAAAACTTCTCGATTTCGTCTGCGGTTAGCTTGTTCTTGTGCGTGCTTAACGTCTTTTAGAAAATGATAAAATAAAGCTATGATTTAATATTGATTGATTGTTGTGATCATTAACTGTTTCAGATGTTCATTAATTCCATCTGAGATAATCTTATTTACTTTCTTTCTCAAGGTTATTATTAGAATTAAAGAAAACAAATGACCGCGTTATAATGACGTACGTTTAATTTTCTCCTTGCACTGAGGTATATATAGATTGCAAAACAACATTTTTGTACTTAAGCACATTTTAGCACATCATTTTAGCACTTGACTTGGAAAGACTGCATTGTCATGATCACGGTATGCAAGAAAATCAGTGGGAGAATTTCACAGCACGCAAGGAATCACTGTTCTTTGATATTCTTGTAATAAACTTAAGAAACAAAATCATGGCAAGGCTAAACGGAAGGGGTAATTTGTAAGACGCTGAACGCCGATTGCATTGTTTGCTTTCGGTTGGTTTCACTCGTGTCGGTCATGTTTGCTTAAGTTTAGTTTCATTCATACTTGTTCGGTCTGCTTGCAGTTAGTTCATTTGTTGCAGAGGAAAGCGCATCGCAAGCAAACACGAGTGAAACTAACCGCCAGCAAACAGTGCAATAGTGCATTCGGCGTTCGGCGTTGTGCGTTGTGCGTTTGACGTTCTGCAAAATGCCCCTGACGAAGAATAAATGTCTATTGCGCATCAGTTTATAGAGGCACCCATACTGTGTTTGTTATATGTACCAACTGTATTTATTATTGATAAATTTAACGTACATATTTTCGCAAACAAACATATTACATAAATACTTGAGGGAATGTCTTGGTTTAAGGAAGTGGTTTTAAAGTCAGAGCACTGATCAGCGTCTCAGACGATATAAATTCGTCTCTAAAGCGCAAAGATGTCTAAAATACGTAAAATAAAAATATTGAAATGTGGCAGCCTCGTCTCGAACGAAACCTTCTATACTGTATGATGCATTCAGTACCCTAATCTTTCACCTAGCTGAACGAGTGCAACCCTTAATAAACTCTTCATGCCTCGGTGGCATCATATATTATACATTAAGCTGATCAGTGTCATCAAACTAGGATTGACATTTTATTATTATTTAAATCATTGGTAATTATTGTCCATTTCAGCTAGACAATAGTCTTTGAAAACGTTGGGCGAGGACTCCGATATGAAAAGGTCGCGGAAGCTCGTCGAAAAATTTAAATCAAACCCCTAAAAAAGACTAATGCGGGCGTAGCTCGAGCTTTATTTGACTCCTAAAAGGTATCACTTAAAGTGGAATAGGTTTGATTACCAGCTGCTGTTAGGGAATGGAGCCCGGGCTGCTGGTAGATCGGACTGAAGAGAACGACGAAAATCGAGGGCAAAAATGCAAATGACAGCGTTTTTCAATTGCTATCACTTCGATTGCACCCTTAAAGATACTTTGACAACTAAAATTAATGGCGTTTTGTCCAGGACATTCCAAGTGAGAACAAAATCCTTGAATTTAACACTTCTAAGCGAGAGGAGGAGCATCCCCGACCTTTTCATATTGCTCCCCCCGGGAACTTTGAAGACGTCAAAGATTCATCTGAGTTCAACAAAAGGATCAGTTTTCGACAAAACTTTCAGTGTTGTTGAATGTTACGCAAATCAATATTAGTGATCTATTTTTACAACGTTAGTTAAAATGGTCTTTACCAACAAGTCGAAGCCAAATTAAAGAGCTGAGACAGCCAAGTAGCACAACTCATGTATGTGTGACTGAGAGAAAGAAAACCGTGTGGGCCTCTACCACAATACCGTACATGGTGCGAGCTGAGGTGTGAGGGAGAGTCTGACGGTCTGACATGAGCCACATTGAGCCTAATAATTTGAATTCCAGTCCACCCTGACATAACTACGCTTATAAGCTCATGTCTTCAAAGTCTGGGTTAAGCCTTCCGCTAACTCCGTTAAGTCAATCACTAACCGTGAAAATGTAAATTTTGACGATATGGTGTCGTGGCTAGAAATAATAACTTTCTGTACTAAGCAAAATATTTAAAGGGACCTTGTCTTGAGATTCATTTCTGCTTAATAGCATTCTCTTAAAATACCCAACCTTGTAGGCCAACATGGATTGAATCCGATTAAAATTTGACCAGTGCTTAAATAGTTTGCGTTTTTCTACAATTTTGATTCGTTGATAACAGGGTGAATTTCATAGGAAGACGACTTCGCTATGTACTTAATCGTCTCAAAATATATGACACACTTCTTAACGTAAATTGTGAATCTATCACAATCAGTCAAATTTCATGAGTTTAATTATGATGATTTACTCGAGAATTTAATGCGCAACATACTGGAGCCTACATGAATCTCAATCCCAGAATCCCCTCCGGTCAAGCCGTTCAACGAGATTGGGTTATCACGTCCCTGCATCGCGAACGAGGAATTATGGGATGAAATACTCATGGTCTTGGTGGCCAGGCTGCTGCTTCGTATCATCTCCACGAAGCGGTTTTTCGTTGTGAGTATGCGCCAAGCTTCTTGGAAATCCTTCTTGATAATTCCGTGCAGAATAAAAATGAGCCAACCTTGAAACGAGCAAGTGATCGTGAAGAGGTAATGAAAAACCAGTGTCCCGACAGTAGCAGCCAAACCAGCGAACAACCAGTTGAGTCCAAGGAGGACAAAGACGGACACAGTCGCCCTGAGGTGAGACAAGCGGTTGGTCTTCTCGCACGTGGGCGGAATGTTGTAGATTTCTTTCATCACGGCGAGGAAGATGAAGGCATTGATGACCATGACGAGGAGGACTGGAGCGAGGAATGCGCCGTAGAAAGCGCCAGCGTCTATCCAGCACCTGAAATCGAGGCACAGAAAAGCACTGCGTCATTTGCTAAGATAAAATTTTACATTTTACACGTATTGCACAATAATTGTTTTCAAAAACCTGACCCGAAAGAACTTTTCAACTTTCAACGGTGAGTTTAAAAGGCGCGTTCTAATTCCACATTTGCTTCTTCGTGCTTGATATCTGAGAAATGCAAACTTTACCCATAGCTGACAGAGAAATGGGCTGAAATTTGTATTGATCATGATGGTTGAGAAATCACTAAAACATTTTCTGGTAACTGAGATTCTCAACAGCATTGATAATTCATCAAGTTTAAACAAAGGAAAGCATGACCGTAACAGTGTTTGGATATCTGATCTTAAATAGCATAGACTTTTACGATTTTATATCTCCATTTCTCCTTAGTTTTGGTCTCGATTGAGAGATATATCAAACAGTCAGGTCAGTATTTGACCATATTTCCAAACACCTCGAAGTTCGTCAAAATTACTACGTTGCGCGTCGTGTTTCAACTCTCTTTTCAACTCTCGGTGTTGGAATTGTGGTCAAACACGGTCTTTCGTGTTTGACATATCACTTCCAACACCTCATACCGACCCGCAGCTCTAAGTGAGTTATCAACTACCATATTCTTTGGGTATTTCCCTCTGATTTGTCATTTGTAGGAATTTCTAAAGCTTGTTAACATCTATTTTCGTTGATTTTGGCTAGACAATATTAGATGTACTTACAGTGTCCCGTTGTTCTTGTCCATGACGTGAAAGCCGTAGGAGTCAGGGTTCGCCAGAACAGTTATCACCACAATCACCGCCGGAACAACTGAAAGCAAACATACATAAAATGTTAAAATAGCAAAGCTGCTCTGAAGGCATGAGTTAGTAAAGCTTACTTCGCTTCGCAAAAAGCCACTGCGGTTGGCGATGTTTTAAAACAATTGATTCATGCCTTTAGATGTTTATCATCTGAGTTATGATACACTGGGGAAGTTTGGAGAGCTGTGCTTCTAAGCTTTTTTCGTGCTTTCCAAGTGCTTCATAACTCGATGATGCATACTTAAAGTCCAGTCCAAACGTGAAATATTTGGCCACAAACACGATCAAAAATCGTTTGGTGACCAAACATGTTGATGTTGTACTGTGTGACCAAACGGTATCAAACCTGTTTGAACGAACAAAATGTTTACAATGTTTGATCAAATGTTCGACGTCGTTCAAATTTTATCAAACACGATCCAACATGATCAGACATGGTATCCAAACGGGGAAACGTTTGGTCACCAAACAATGTTTGATCGCTAAACATTTCCTGTTTCGATTGGGCTTAGGGATGAATCAATTGGTTATTAAATCGTGCTACAATCCTGACCATAAGTTGTTGGGACACCTCCCCTTTTGTGCGCAGAAACCCACGATTTTAACTACGCCCTTGACGTTTTAGGGAAAGATGAATAGAAGCAAGTATAATTGACCCCCTCCCCCCGAGCAATGTTGAAAGAAAATGAGGCTATTCTGAAGAGTAGATCGGATGGTTTTAAAAAGGAAAAAAGGACAATAGAAGGTGGTTAGACAGTTGTGTTGGAAGTGAACGTGATTGCTAAAAAATCGTTATTATTGGAATAAGACGTGAATATCTATGTTATCGTCACTTTAGTTGGAGAAGACAGCTCTAGAAGGCAAACAATTCTTGAGACGTGGCTGTTCTGAAGCTACTATCAAGGGGTTTTTTTTGGTTTTCAAGATTTTTATCAACTTTGTCAGGGGGGAGGGGGGTAGGCGGGCTTACGCGGTCTTGGTCGTAACAGAGGCTACCTGTGAAGTCATCTGCCATAAACTGTCCCAACACTTTTGACCAGGGTTGTAAATGCCATAATTATTTCACATTAATAACTGACGTGAGCGAAATATGTCACTTACTCCATCCCACTACTCCAGCTCGGCACATGAACTCGTTCTGTGAAATTAATGTCGTATCAAACACTTTGACCAGGTCTTGATACAAGTTGTACGCCTCGATACTCATCCACAAGATGGAGGAAAGCAGGAAAAAATGAAGTAAGGCGGCCATGGCTTTACAAAGGTCCAGTGCATCAGAATCCATGATGCCATTGATACCAAAAGTAAACAACAAGATGGCGGCCAGCAGCGACAGACACAAGTAAGCTAGAATCTGATTTTGACGTAAACGGCGCAGCTTCCTGTGGGAGGCAGTTTACAGTTTCAGATGTCGGGTATTGAAAGTCAAAGAGGGCAAGTGCTGAACCTGTTTAAATGGGAAGCTAGAGTGACATGACCCTGAATTCTGATCATTTTGTTCTTGATTCAGTCCCTTACCCTGTTAAGACATAACATTGTTTATGTCGAGGCATAATGATCAAGAACATACGATAATCTCTTGCATCTTGTCTTTAAAATATCATTTCACGTCAAATTTTATCCCATAGCGTAGAGGAAGCGAATACTCCAAAGTTAAAAGGAAGCCCTACACGTTATCTATCTATTTTCTATCAACTCTTCTTTAATGTATTGTAATGACATAATTTCAAAGAAATCAATATTGCCGTGGTCTAGTATTCTCAGAACTAAAAACAGAAGAATTGTCCAACTAATGGTTGGTTAGAAAAATGAACACTTTAGTTTTGGAAATCAAAGTGTAAACAATGTCGCTACAAGTTCAACGCCATAGGCACGCAATGCATGCAGAATACTGGAAAATTTAGTGCAGCCTGCAGAGGTAAGTGATCAGTGCATGAGGATTCAAGGCAGAAACACAATCATAAACTACTGATCCCAGACGTCTGTTGAAATGACCTTTTTTCAGAACATCGCACGCAACGTTGGTTTCAGCCGCGGTTTAAAAAAAGGGATGAGGCGATGACAAACAACTCTTGGCTACAGCTTGCAGCACAGCTGGCGCACATTCCTCGAGAGAAGCAAGTTCGAGGAAAATCTTATCAATGCGATGGATGTTGCATCTGTCGAATTTTTCTCTGTAACATAACTTGATTTGTATCTTGCTAGAAATTGCGAAAGTCAACAAACTTTGAAACAAACTGTGAAGCTCCTTCCCCGAGGAAAGATTCACGCATCCCACGAACATGAAATTCGTCATCACGTGATCAATTTTTTTGAATCCGTGAATGAAACAACGGTGTGTGCACCGGCAAAAGAAAGCCATTTCGACAGCCGTCTGGGATCAATTATAGTAGAGCTGTTTTAACTTGAGAACTTGTGTCCCCAATGAGTGCCATTGGCGCCAGAATGACCAGACACTTCTAATAAAGGATATGTATGAAGAAACGGACACTTGGGAGCCACAGTTACATTACCATGATAAGACGATGGTCAAAATCGTTAAACTCAGTCCTACAGCTGATAAAGAGCATCCAACATAAGATATAATCGCCAGTGCCTTCTGGTGACTTTCTGGGATGTCATCGTATTTACGTAGAACAGCTTTGGACGTAAAACCATACTTCTGCTCCAAAATGCTGAGATAGTCAGAAACCAGTGCTTCGGGAATTTCCTTAAGTAATGAGAAAGCACGGTTTAGTAGTGGAAGGAAATTGATTGGGTCCATTATGATCGATGGAGAGTTTCCATTGCCCATCTGGATGGGAATCCTTAGTGAGGTTGCAAGCAATCTCAACAAAGTTTTGCCTTGTTACATTATTTGTCCGATGATAATGATGATGATGATGATGATGACGATAATGATGATGATGACGATGATGATGATGTTTATGATGTGTATGAATATATTTCGTCACTACCACTCATGTCGACTAGCCCAAGAGCACAACGTATATGAAACTCACCGATTTCGGCTCAAGTCCAGACTAAGTATATTTGCAAAAAAGGTTTATAATTACAAAAACATTATCAGATTGTAAAATGTGAAAAATAATTAAAAAATTTGTATCTCCAAGCTCTTAATTTCGCGCCGAAAATGGGTCGCCCGCGTCCGGCAATTCGCTCGTAGCTCGTCGAGTGTCGCCAGGTAGGATAATATTTGCTTTATTTTGAACAAAATATATATGTTGCTCCTCCACAAATCAAACCCAGTATTCTGGAGTTAAGTATTAGAAGAGGCCAAAGAAACTTAAGCATTGTCTTTATTTTTGTTAGCTGTGAAGAAAAAGGTTATTATCGTGTCGTTTCGGTAGGACAGCTCGGTCTGACTGCCGCTCGTACTTCGGGCGCAGCCACCGTATGCAAGACATCTCTTCCAAGTAGCTTCATGCTTCGAACGCTGACGTTGCCTTACCTCACTGGCTCCTTCTTACTCCTATTAAACTAGGTTACTCGTAATCTCGTTAGGAATTGCAACATCGTTTCTTTTGCTCACCTGAAAACTAAATGCTGTACTGTTTAACAGAACCTCGTTATGGAGCTGAAAATGTACGACAGTTCTGAGGTACAACCAGCATGAGTTTTGTATCATAGCTTTCAAGTCGTGAAGATTCCTGGCTGGATTAGTCACATTCACATCCAATCGCATCACCATAATAAAGTAGATTCCTCTGTGAGAACAAAAATTAGCACAGTTCATTTCAATTCCAGCCTCTTTTTAAGTACAGCTGTGGCGGATCTAGGGGAGATTTCGGGGTTTCGCTCGAATCCCCCAAATTAAAACAGCTAAAGTCACAGGAATTGTAAAAATATTAGAATATGCATTCAATCCTTAATGGGATGAATCTGCAACGTTTTCTGTCCCACTGATTTGGCCTTAGAATGCAGGAAGTCTCATTTCCGAGGACCTCAATTTTGAAAATTTTCCGGGGGAGGCTGCCCCCGGATCGCCCTACAGGGACCGCCTTCAGTGGTTCGTATCTCGGGCCCCCTCCTCTAAAATCCTGTATCCACCACAGTAAAGCGAGGAAATTACCGAGTAAAAAGCATCAGTTGTAATATTAACCTTTCTTCTCTTTTCTGTTCAGGTGGAATTTCCGTTTTCTCTGTGGTGTTTACTTCCTGGCCACCAAGTAAAGGAGGTCTGTAGAATATAATCCAATGTTAAGAGAAAAAGGTTAAACGAGAGAGGTTGCCTTCTCTTACTTTAGCCATAATTATATAATTTTTATTATTTCACTCCTTTCGTTCAAAGCATCTTTCAATCTTTTAATCAATCTTTATTTTCGTTCCTCAATTTGCATTTTAAAGATTAGATTGGCCCGCGGATAGCTAGTGTTAGTCTAGGCGGGCCAATCTGTCAAGATCTAATTACCATGATTACAGACGTTTTTATACTTAACAATTAGATTATGAGCTCGAGATTTCAACTACTATCACGCATAGAAATCGAGAGCGAATAATCCAATTGGCAAATATAGTATAAATCTTTTAGTCGTTCAAAACTTTATCTAAATCTTCTTCACAGACACTTCGAAAACGCAAAGAAGCGGAGGCTACTCACTATCTACAACAGAATAGATAGCGAGTGGCGTAGCCAATCAGAGAACGCCATTCGTGATAGAACGCTAGTAGATTTATACCAATGGCTGATGATATACGAGTAGCTCAGCCAATCAGATTGCAGCCATTGCCTTAGTATACTAGTAGAATTCTACTGAAATAGAATAGATAGTGAGTAGCGTAGCCAATCAGAGAACGACAATCGTGATAGAACACTAGTAGATTTATACTAATAATAGATAGATTACAATAGACAATTAGGAAAAAGTAAATCAAATAGAAAGGTGGGAAAAGGATGTAAAACAGAAGTAAGAGGTTATCAGATTAATTAGACCCATCTAAAGTGTGCTCATTCTTGCCAATTGGCCGAAGGTCTTGGAACCGTATTAATGATGTTCACTTGAAACAATTTACCAAGGGGATGACAACAGTGTTAACATTACCAATAGTTAGCTAAAGTCGTTTTTAAGAAAATTTCAAGAAACAAGACTATAGGACAGTATACAGCAAAGATTCTTTACCCAAAGAAAACACCCTCAGATGTCTTGTTAAGCAGTGAAGAATCTTTAAATAGGTTGACTCGCACAAAAAAGTCGAACATCTTCCAGAACTGCAATTCAATGTTAAGACAAATCAATGTGACAGACGTTCTATGAATATTGAAAAGAAAGAAAGTAAAGAGAGGGGGCGCGCGAGGGGGGTGATATCGTAAATTCATTGTGCTCATCAATGTACTTTTGTGTTATCAACTGGTCATTTCACACCGACCTCGTTACGCTCGCTCTGTACTTTATTGCTCTAGTTCCACCCCTCCCACGTATTCTTAATGCTCACAAGCATTTTGTGTCGTTTTTTTTGTTAAGCCTCCCTAAACATACAGGCAATTAATCGCAAAATATCGTCATTTGTCAGTGTCCCGCAGATCAATTATTAGCAAATAGGTAATCTGCCCGCCACTGGCACATCACGATACTTTGCTCAACCTCGTCCAATAATTGTTAACCGAGTTCAATTACGCATGAGCAGATTATTACTTTGTAGCAAAACACACTTAGACGGTATTACGCATGGCAGTTATTCGCAGGTCACGTGATGGGCCCCCGGCCAATGAAAAGGAAGAAAAACTGTATCAAATGATAATATGGCATTGGGATACTGTACCATGCCATCATGCCATTCCATATTTTTGGTTGGGATCATTTGCGGTCCAATATGGAGATCATTTGCAGTCCAGGATCATTTGCGGTCCAATTTGGGGATCATTTGCAGTCCGGGGTCACTTGCGTTCCAATATGGAAATCATTTGTAGTCCGGGATCATTTGCGTTCCAATTTGGGGATCATTTACGGTCCAATTTGGGGATCATTTGCAGTCTGGGATTACTTGCGGTCCAATTTGGGGATCATTTACGGTCCTAGGATCATTTGCAGACCTGTACAAAAACAAATGGTGACATGAATACTTAATTAATACTCACCCCTTTCCTGATGTTGTTAGTCAAATTTTGACATGGTCCACAATCTTTCGTGTCTTGCGTGTAAAACTCTTTTGTGAAATTGTGGTTCAATATCACACCAGACGCGTGATAATGGAGGACTGACACGTTTTCTCCTGTGCAAAGCCCTGTTGGAGAACATAATAAAAGTAAATCTTAACCTGAAACATTGAAAGCTTATCTTGCCTGTAGTGCATGGCGAAAGACATCACACGTCATTAATCACAATCATAGCCCTATAAATTCAATATACAATAGCGTTCTTGAATTATGAAGGAATAAAGTCTATTTCTTATTGAAAAACTTCAGGCAGAGACGTGGGTCTGCAATCAAATCGTGAATGAAAGTAAGATGAATACAATTTAAAATTTACATAGTTTAAAATCTTCAAGTTAAAATCTATGTGTGTAAATAAGATGAATACAATCTAAAATCTGCACAAGTTTAAAGAGACATCTGTTCATAAACGAGTTTTTGCATCTCTCAAGTCTTATCTGGGGGAGTTGAAACTCATGCCCCTTTTTCTTAGTATTCTTGACCGTTTTGGCGGCAATAAATCTTGCAGTGGGTGGTCTTTCGTGATAGTGATCTTTTTGAACAAAAGTTAAACTTTCTCTCCAACTAAGGATGAATATAACATAACTTCTGACCAAACGACCGCAACATTTCAACGCAACGTATCGCAACATTGTTGAGCGCAACATGTTGTGCGCTTTTGGCCAATCTATTGCGACGTGTTGCGTTATGCTGTGTGTTGTTGACTCAAGTTTGAAAATGGTCAAATTTGAGCCAACAACACCCAATTGTCGTAACACGTTGCAACAGGGTGGCCAAACGCTCGCAACATGTAGTATGTTGCCCTCAACAATATGATTTGCGATATGTTGCTTTGAAATGTTTCGATCGTTTGGTCGGGGCTTTATAGAGTAAAAATGTTATGGTTCATAAGTGTGTTGGGATTCGTGTCATCTCTCAAATTTTACCAGTTAGCCTGGTGCTATGCACCTAATATTGGACAAAGGTTTAAGATTCTGGATTGAAATCGAGCCAGAACGTTTTTAGTTGATTTCATGTACTGATGTTCATGTTTTGAGCGTAAAATGCAATTCAAATACTGCATCGACTAAAAAATCCTGAAACTTTTTTAGCCGATGTTAACGTGCTCTGTATGAAGATGTTCAACCCAAATCGTGTTTTTTCTCTTTGGTTACAACATCCAAAAATGTACAGAACTAAAGGAAAAATAGCTAATGTAAACAGGAAGGTTTTAACTGAAGTCAGATGAGCATATTGCAGCAAAAAGACAAAAAAGTGTATTTATAGCTATTGAATCAGCTGCGTTCAATTTCTGCATCTTACTTTTTCATGCACACTTTTATGTTATTTCGGCTTTGCGTTAATGTATGAGAGGTTAAGCATGCCGTTTAAATAAATCACACAAGAATATATAGAAAAACGTCTCCAACCATTCACTGCAAAAACAAATATTTTTACTTTACTGTACAAACAGCTGAAGACAGTCGGCAAAAGCTTTTCATATTTTCCATTTGCCGTTTGCTGTAAATGCCAAGCTTAACCTCTGCAATAATTGCAGTATGATTCCATGGAGGGGTACGGTACAGCACAGCATACACTATACGTTAGAAAAATGTTCCATGCATGGGCGGTGGATTAAACAGTGCTCGTCATTACAGAGAAATCGTGATATGAAATACTAACTATCTAAAAATTCAGAGCTTGTTTTGTTAAATGAACTGGTCCTATTTAGTAGTGTCAGTTCGTGCAACAAGGACTCCCAACGGCTGAAAGCGTTGTCGGTTGAGTCATATTATCATGGCGAGTTGTAAAATGGGCTTTAACCATGGACAACGCTAAAAATAGCGACGACAGCGTTGCTACAATCGACAAGAAAATGCCTCCCCGTTCGCCACGCCGGTGCCCTCATTGTAATAGAAACTTCTTGTTGCGATGCACAGAAGCCGAACAAAACATACACTGATGTCAACAGAACGGCCAAGGTTAAGCTAATTTCTTAGCAACGCGGAGAAAAACTCAAACATGCATGTACTGATGACACATGATGTCTGTTACCTGTGCACAGTGCAAAGAGGACAGCAAACGTCAGTCGCTCAAATAATTGCTCCATTGGAGCACGTAGTCACTTCTGAAAGAAAGGAAATTTATAACATCTGTTAACCGTGACGAACTTACCGCACTGTGTTACTGGGTCTTAGGGTACAGTGCAGAATGCTAATATCCTTACACCGCGAGTGTACCCCATTCTTTTTGTTTAATGCAACCAATTTTTTATGCTTAGACGTTTAAGCAAAAATAATGATACCTTTTTCAATCTCTTCGGCTTTTAAACACGAAAATCCCTATAAAAGAGCTTATGAACTGAACTTTTCGAGTATGCTTTTTGTGAAAGAAATTGTACCATCGAGTTCTGTTTTTAATTCTGTTATATTTCGGCAAATATAACACGACTAAAAAACAGACCAAAGACACATACTGACCATGGTACAATATTATGTCCACAGTGAGCTCTGGAGTAAATTTTAAATCTTTGGTACACTTGAATTGGCCATTTGAACCGGTTACTAGTGCTATCACACTAAAATGGTCGTAAAGCGAAAAAATAATTCGTATAAATTACCTAAGACGTGATTCCGTCAATGGTTTAATTAAAGAAACTGATTGTAAAGTTTCATGGGAGCGACCCACATGTTGTACTCTTAAATAAAACTAATCTGCTCTTCTAAGTCTGTTTCAATGTATAGCTTACATTGATGGTACATATCACAAGTCAGTACGCAATTCAAGCATTGGAGGTTAAAATTTGAAACAGGACCTGACTTATAGTCCATCAGTGCTTCCCTCATTTCTGAATTGATCAAATATTTCTTGCTAAATATGTATGGTGATTGGTTTGTCGGCCTAAATTCTCACGGAAATGTAATTTTTTTTTCCCGTTTGCTCCAAGAATAATTGAAAGTACTTCTTTTGTCAATGAACAGCTTTAAATTCTCTGCCAGTATGTCCTTGCCCTTCCTGCAAAAAGGTAATTGCTAACGGAAGGAGTTAATTCACAGTTTTTTCAATGTCAACATAAATCGCCCGTTTAGGCTAAGCCTCGAGTGTAAGTTTGTTTTTTATTTTCTAACTCTTATATACATTGGCGGAAAGGAGCTACCTGAAGCAAGTTCGCGTTAAAATGCAGTATGATTGTTGCAACTGAAAAACTTGTCCTTACAGCACTGGGAAAAACGCAATATATCTGATTTTAAATGAATAATAGAATTATTACAATATAAAAACAGATAATTTACCTTTCAATCCAAGAGTTCCCTTCGTTAGCTTGAACGAAAACAAAAAACTGTCCAAAGTACACTTTTTGTTGTAGAAAAATCTCGGTCAGTTACTAAAGAATAGCCGATTTCTAGATAGAACAGGCAAATTGAAAATAAACTGGAGCGATTACAGATACTGGGCACAAATGGAAGCGGGATCGACACATAGTAATTGGCATCTGTCCGTTTCTTTGTTCACCTGCCTGACGTAAATTGAAAATTTTCAACTGTCATTCAAAAACACACGAGTTGTGTACGTCAATAGCTGTATAGTACACATAAAGCGACATTACATGTCACTAAAAGAACTCCAAAAACGTCGAATGAAATTTCCCGTTTATCTTGTTCTAACGAGGAAATTGACTAAATGGTAGGACATCAAACGTAACGTCGCACCCTTAATTCTTTGCAACTCTATTCTCGTCGGGGCATTTGAACTATTGGTGTGAAATCGCGGCGATTCGTATGTTAATTTCAAACTCGTGTTGCAACACATGAGGAAGGTCTATAATTTATTTACTTTGGAACATGTTTTCATGGTAACGCCTGATCAAATGTCGTACTATTTTAGTGAAACATGTATCAAACCATGCAGTGAAGCAGAAACGTGCTCTCAAGTTCGGAGTGAGGTAGATATGGTTGTAAGTAATGCTGCCACTATTAGCACAACAAAACACTAAAACACACTTTTATCATATTCAGGGCTGCACTGAGAATCGTTTCAGTCGCATTACGGTGATTTTTAGATTTTGATACAAAGAGGGGGAGCACTGGTTTAGAATGAACAGAACAGTAATTAATTACAACAGATGAGGTAAGTGCGAAGCTGCGGTCCATGTCGGAAAAATATGTTACATCTAGATACGAAGAATAGTTGACCTTAGGGAAACAAATTTCACCAAAACGTCCAGTTTATCGTTAATAATCTGACTTAGCTATGAAAGACGTGACAAATACATCTTTGGGACCATTCAAAAATTAGCTAAAACTAATTATCTCCTGACATTGAAAACAAATGGTCAGATAATGCAGGCACGTAGATAAATCAGAGCCTACACCGAGTCTACACCGATCATACACGTCTAGTCCCAATTCGAAATATTTATTCTTCTACTTCCAAGCACACATGTTGTCATAATCATGCGAATTCGGAGAATTTGGAGGTATATCAAGACAGTATGGTCGGTTGTTGATGTTTGCAATAATCCACATCACGAGCTTGTCTTTTATGAAAGATCTTCTGCCATTGTAACGACAATTAAGATTTGAACCNGTACATAAAATACATACATATAGTACTATACACCCTTAAATGACTTTCCCCAAAGGGGCTTTTCAAAGACAACACCTAATAAAATTTAATCAATAACAATAGGCTGCTAATTAACTACAACAACAAAAGCCCTGTGTTTAATTAAAGTAAGCCTGGAAACCAAAGTAAAGGTATCACTACCCACCTTAATCTGGCAATCCTGTTAACAATATGGCGGCGGCAAAACGACTGCCGCAGTGATTATGGATCAGGAAAGTAGAAAGGTAGAGCGTGGGAGGGAAGGGAAGGAGGTATACGGAAATGAGAGAATGAAGAGGAGTATCAGTTGGGCGGGGGGTACTCCTAGAAAAATTGGGTGGGGGTGTGCGGCACGCTTCTCAAAGCCCTTACCCTATTTAAGGTCAAAGCCTGCGACTTTACCTACCCCGTTTATGACCTGACCATGACTAACAATTCCATACCTTATTTTAGATCTGACCCTTAAATCAATACCCTGTTTCAGACCTGCCTTATAATTGGTTTCCTGATTCAGACCGATGTAAAAGGCTTTATGAAAGGCTTTTACTGATGGCCTTATCTGAAATGATGAAAAAGTAGCTACTGGTAAAAAATCTACTCAATTCGAGACCAGCGTGCAAAAACCATACCCTACTGGAGACCAAAATGGCTAAAATCTATCCGTCAGTTTAACCAAAGTGGCTAAAACCATTCCCTTTGGGGCCACACATAGCTATATAGGCCATATAAATGAGTACCCCCGGAAGTATTTGATACTAGAATTATAAAAAATGTTTAATTAGTAAAAACGAAACTGGAGAGGTGGTGGGTGTAGGGTAATTGAGCAATACAGGAAATTGAGTATGACCTGAATACGAAGTTAACAAAAAATACTTTGACATGCAGTGGGATGGTGCGTACTGCTGAATGAGGAAACACGAGAAAGATGAATCATCAGTTACATTGAGTAAAATTCAAGCTTCAAGTTTTGTGCTTGCATGTAACTGATGATTCATCTTTCTCGTATTTCCTCATTCAGCGGTATTGACCCTTTTCATAAATGGCTGCCAATTATAAATTATTTTTTAAGTATTAAAATTAGCCTGACTGACCTCGTTTTTGAGTTGATAATTCAAAAGAATTGTTACTCCCAAACGAGTTTAGTGAGGCTAATTTAAATGCATACAAAATAATTTTAAATTGGCAGCCATTTATGAAAAGCGTCTATGCACCATTCCACTCAACAATCGGTCATAGATACAGAGAAATTATTGACTTCAAAGTTCCAAGATCTTTTTTTTTTATCAAGCTTTAACAACACTTGAAGCCTAAATTTTACTCAGGTTTAAAATGTCGTAACAGCTGTGACTTTATTAAAGAAAGATCTTGGAACGTTGCAGACAATACTTTCTCTGCGCGTATGACCGCTTGTTGCCCCGAATGTTCTCAACTTGTTTGTAACAAATTATCAAGCACACAGTTATGGCACGAGAACAGCCAGTAGTTATATATCGACTGCATTACTGTGGCATAAATCTTGAACGATTTTACGAATCGATACTCTATCAAGGTCCTAAAATTTAGAATTCTCTGCCAGTATCTGTAACTGGTTCAACATGATGCTTTATACTAGCTTTAAAAAAACAGATGATGACATTTTCAATGAAATAATACTGACATGGTCGTGTCCCGCACACGAAGCTAAAAATTAAAACTTTACTAACAGTTATTAAAGTCCACCCCGCTGTAAGCCTGGTGGCTAGTTGTACTCGTATATACTTCTTTTTGTAACAAACAAATAATGTGTTATAATCTGGCAAAGCCTGAGACCGTAAATACAGAATATCAACATTTCGCCTTTTCTGAACCAGTTAACCCAAGGTTGAATTCTCCCATGACGGCCCCCGCCTGGCAAATAAGTTGTTATAAACCTGCCAAATCAGTGCAGCTCCACAGTCGACCTCACATATCCACTGCTTAATGTGAAAACTACACGTTCTGTTGTTGACTAAGTCACTATCAAGCTATTTTATACGTAAGCAATTACCACTGGATACTCACTGGATTTTCCGGCAAACTCGAGATTCAAACAAAACCTTTACTGAAGCAGAATTTCGGCAAAAGTGGAATATAAATTAATATATTAATTTAACTGAAATGTTGCAGTTGCCTGATGAAGAAGCATGAAACTCTGAGTATTATTATAACTTGCCCTAGTTTAACTATTGAGCACTCTAATAGCCGAAGAAAATTTCAACCTGCTATTTGGTTATAACTGAAATTCTCTATGTTTTTAAAAATTACAGCTTTTTTCTCCGAGTACAGTCTTTTCTCTCGGTACGTGCAGCCTAAACTTAATTAGAAGTGGCTTACAGTACCTCTCAAGTGATTGACATCAGAAAGCATATCATGCCTCCCGCACATGATATGCACATTTGATGTCGTAGTTGTTTGCTGATATGATTGATAATAAAAGACTGAAAAATACGAGGATAAAAGAAATTTATCACAGGAAACATCATTTTACCGAAATCTACACTCAAGGGCCGGAACGGTCTTTACTCTTCATCTGTTCATCGGAAGAGACTTAGTCAACCTGTCTTTTTTAGACATGTAAGCTACATGAAAATGGACACCTACGCCATTTCCCAATGTTCTAGTTTGCCATCGATACTTTGGTATATATATTCTAATCAGGATTTCTGGTGGTTTCATCTCATGATTCGAATGACCGCAACTACTGAAAATTAAAATAAACCACGCATAATTTTTGGATTCATCAATTGGTGACATTCTTGCATGCTTTTGTTACTTTTTTTGTAGTTGAGCTTCGCACGAAATAATCGAAATCTGAAAGTAATTCAAGGGTATTACGGCAAGTACTCTGCCTTTTATTGATGACGCAGATTTGCAGAATCATGTTGTTAGTCAAAGAGAATACATCTATCTTTACCGATTATTTAGTAACTTCAGTGTAAGTCATTATATGTTATTAACGCTTAGTAGTTGAGTAGTCGAAATTTGAACGCAATTTATGTGGTTGTTAAGGAGCTGATTTCTTTCCGACCAAAAAAATCGCTCTTTTGAATAAGACTACGCATTTAACTTACAGCAAAAAAGACCTTAACCTTAATCGAGTTTAAATTATATGCCAAATACATGAGGAAAGAGTGAGAAACTACTAATTCGAGGGTAAAGAGATAAAAAATTGTCCCATGTATGTAAACTAGAAATATTATCTAAGCCGTAAAAACAACAGCTGCAGAAACTAAATCTACTTACCTTATAAAACTGAACGAGTTTCTTTGAGACGTAAAATCCTATTAGACCGTTATTGCAAAGGATTAGAATTTTCCAAAACACATCATAACATTGAAAATGGCCAATTCTGGTCCGTGTTTAGATGGAATCTAGCCAGAACTGAGCAATAGATTGACAGGAAAATATTCTTGGAGCGAAAACTGCTTATTCGAGTGAATCTTCAAACAGGTTTGAGTGGCAGTTTAGACACACTATGGCAGCTGGGCTAACAAGTTCTTGCTGGTTGTTCGAAGCTTGGGAAATTTTGATTGGTCCAGCAAAATGTCAGTGATTGAACAGTTAAACGTATGTTCTTGCAATTTTGCTATTGTTTGCACTAAATATATTACACTTTAACTGTGTTATTTCCGTGCTTGTTTGCGCGTATAGACTTTGTGTGAAGTAATACTTATACATGGTCATGAATGAGCCTTGTAATATTTTACGCTACTAAAAGAGCTGCACTTTCCGATATCGTGACCTGTATTCATCGTCAATTAATTTCATTTTCCAATATTTAAACGAAATTGAAATGTTCATTTATTTATTGTTCTTCAGCTTTAAGTTTTTTTTTTTCCTGAAGGACTGGCAAAAGTCTTTACCTATCAACAACGACAACAAGAGATGTTATCTAGATTTGAAACCCTTTTTCAAATCTGAGAAATGTAATATAAGCAACAACAAATAATCAATACCAAACTCAAAAATTATCTAGTACATATATAAGAAATAAAACATTTCATATACTCATCTTCTGTTTTTCAACAGATATTCAGATAGGTTATCCGTTTATGTGTAAGGAATTACCAGCCAGATTTATTCGATAAGTTGAGATCAGGTTTGCCTACGTCGGTAATAGAATGGTTAAAAGTAATGTTGCTTAGGCTTACCATTTGGAGTTATTCACTCAGAATTGACAGAGACAGTTTTGATCGCACGAAGAGAGAAACGTGACTGAGAGAAGCATGTTTACCCCACAGCTCCTCATACCAAGCAAAAATATGGCACGAAAACATGAGACGCAAAATGTAATTAAGAAAAATTCTAATCCCCAGAGTAATATATAACTTCCCATTGTAACATGAAATAAACTTCTTAGCACAAAACCTAATGACACAAAACAGAAAAGATAATGTCCTTGTGAAGATTAATGATGACAATATTATCTGTACCTATTTCATTTTTGCATGATAAATATGGTAGCTCTTCATTCGATTACGGAAATATTCAACTTCTAGGCGACAAGTATGTCGACTCATGACACGGTCGACTGAAAAGAAACTAACTTATTACCCATTTAAGCGATATTCCAATCTATAAGAGGTTTTATTTTCAGTTCGTACCATTTCTCAAATTGAACGGCGGTTAAGGATGGCCATTAAATAATGGTAAACGAAAGTGTTTTTCCAAAATCAGCAAGTCAACCGAAAGAGAAATGTTGATGCAGTAGTATCACTTATCCATATTACAAATTCAACTTTGGATTATTATTTTTCGTTACTGGGGGACTGGAAACTGTGGGGATAGAAGAAATGGCAAGGATATTTCCGACATTTCGTTCCGAACGGAAGAAGACGAGTACCCTTGGAGGTAGTTTATAATGTAAGAAAGGATGTTTGGAAAATACAGTTCAATTTGACTTACAACTTATAAATTTCCGGAGTTTTGCCCTAATGGTATGCAACCTTTACTTCCTTATCATTGCATAATTTAGTTTCTCTTCGTGAATCTCAAAGCGACTATTAGTACACTAGTCAAGTACACTAGTCTAGTGCATTATTTATGTCGGAAGTTACCCTACCAGCACAGTTAAGTTACAAAAAAAAAAGGACAGAAAAACCATGTACTCTGTTTTTTTCAGTAATTGTCGTCAAACACGCAGAAACGTCGAGATGTCCCACAATATTATCGCAATATTAGCCATATTGTGCTTATGAAAACAAAATCTCTGTGATCCTTTAAACCATGCTGCTAATAACATTTTCCACGAGAGACAGACAACTTCATGACATCTTTCCCCTCTAGCATTGCGGAGTATACTTCATTTACTTTTAAAGACAAACCTCGCAGTTTTATTAGAATTTTTGCCATTGCAGAGTTATTACTGACACCATTAAGTTGAAAAGTTGATTGCTAGGTGGGTTAAAATATTACATGTTGCTTCAAGCCACGCAAACACTTCAAATGGTAGTTTTGATTACAGCTATTGTGCTGTACTTTGGACGCTCATTAATTCGGCTTCTTTTTCTTCTTTTTCATTAAATTTAATCCGGACCCGCATTGAGGGCGTGTTAATAAAAGAGGAATATTTCAACGTCATTTATGTGTCTCCTGAAACTAAACTCGAAAGTCCTAAAATCTAATCAATATCGTTAACATCGGTCCCGCGACGGTTAAGTAGAATCCGACACAGGATGCAGCCGCAAGCGCCTTTTGATTATTGCAATTGTTGTTGCTGTTGCTGTTATTGTTGTTGTTGTCATTATTATCGTTATTGTTATTGTTGTTATTATTATTGTTATCGTTGCTGTTGTTGTTGTTGTTGTTGTTACTTGTTCCTTTTCTATTAAGCCTCAAAAGCTTAAGATAACCGGTGACCTGGGACTTGGATATTTCCTAAAAAGAATGAGAAAAGCACGATTTGTCGTCAGTGGAACAATCAACACCAGAAATCACTTTCATTAGAATTGCAAAATTTAGGTTGACATTACCTGTTAATATATACAGTTGCTAATAGAAAAAAAAATAGATTCCTTGAACAAGATATTTCTTTAGTCTTCGTTAATTCTTCTTAAGCTATATAGAGGTAATGAATAGGGTCAGGAGCCCATGGGCTCCTTATAGGGTTTATTTTAGATAAATTTCCTGGAAGTTAGTTATGTGAAGGAAATTTTGTCTCGTCACTTCTCAGCTCAACTGTATTTTTCACTAGGCCACCCCTAAACTCTGAATTGTACTAACACTGCAGACGTTTACTCTCACCTGAAAACTAAATGCCGTCCTGTTTAACAGAACCTCGTTGTGGAGCTGAAAATGCACGACAGTTCTGAGGTACAACCAACATGAGTTTTGTATCATAGCTTTCAGGTTGTGAAGATTCCTGGCCGTATTACTGACATCCAGATCCAATCGCATTACCATAATGAAGAAAACTCCTCTGCAACATTAACAAAACTTTATAATCAGCAGATAAAGCTTTTTCACTCATGTGGTCAGCAGCCAGTCAAATGTACTGGACAAAAAAGGTGTTGACATGAGAAAAGGGTTCAACTCTCATAAGTTTTGAAGACATGACTGATTATCGGAGTTATATACACAACTTAAAGCAGTTGTCAAATCAAAGCCTGAAACAAATTCAGGCCTAAACGATGATCACTCATGTCTTCATCTCTTTCTCCGCAGTTCAAATATGTGATCTTTTCAGATATTCTCTTGCATTCTTCAACCATCTGCGAGTATATTACGAATTCACAACATGATCAATTCCCAGTTGGCTTGATAGCTCGGCTGGTAGGGCACTGCACCGGTATAGCAGAGGTCATGGGTTCGAATCCCGTTTAATTCAACAATGATCACTCATGTCTTCATATCTTTTTCACCAGTTCAAATATATGATCTTTCATATATTCACTTGCATTCTCATAAACAATGATTTGTTTGGAACACCAACATGACCGTCGTGAAGTCATGTGAAAACACTCTGTAGAGATTATTCCTGAGGCCGCTTCTTTTAAATTGCGTGAGAGCGTTACACGATAAAAGACATGTTGTCTCACCTTTCTTCTTTTTGGTCATCAGGTGGAATTTCTTTTTCCTTTGAGGCATTTATTTTCGGGCCGCCAACCGAGGGAGGTCTAGTAAACAAATATTAAGAGAAACGGATTGTTTTAGAAAAAAAACTTGTGACTTTAGGTCACAAGCGGGGGATGCTAAATGAACACAAACGCAGATGCATGTCGAAGAGCTGAAAGCTGAAGAGTTGTTTTGCATATAAACTTGATGCGTACGGGTATAAAATTCAGAAAACATAAAAACCACTCCACTTCTTTCATTTCCCTACATTATCATTGACTTTTCTTAATGAAATTCTTCAGTCCTAAACATAGAATTCACCATGATGATCAGGGTTTTTGTTCCAGGCGGGAGGCGTTTCGTCCAGTTGTGTACCATGTCATGGCAGGTACTTAGATGCCATATATTTGAATTTCTCTCTTTTCCTGATATCGCAAACGCTCTGTATCGTACATATATGTGACCTAGCCAAAGTGTGAGGTGTTCTAAGTGATAAGCCGGTTTTAATCTCATGGTTTCTCATAATTAAACCAGAGCATAACAGATAACTATTGAGATTACTACCGTACATCTTTTTTTTTTTGATAACCAAGAAACATAACCTTTCAATCCCAGTGTCAAATGATGAAATTGAAAATGATTTTGTTGCCTTACTTTTCCCCTTCCAACTAAGTGTACTGGTTATTAGTAGAGAGAAGGAAAAATTTTACATCATATATGTGATCCGGCCAGAGAATCTCTGTTTGTAAAGTGCGAGGTGTTCTTAGTGTTAAGCCGGTTTAAGCAGCCAAAGTTCAATTCTGAACAAGTCTAAGTGGAATGCTGGGTTGCATCATTTTGCAATACATCGCGTAATTATTGTCCGTATTTTCTGTAGTGCTGTGTTCCTCCTTACCTAAAGAAAACTCCCTCAGATGTCTTGTTAATCAGCGAAGAATTTTTAAATAAGTTGACTCGCACAAAAAAGTCGAACATTTTCCAGAACTGCAATATGAAGACGAATTTTTATGGTCAGTAATTCTCTGAAGGAAAGAGATTAAAACAAAAGTAACAAAATACGTGATACAGTCCCAAGGTAGTTGCGCTGCATTCCTCAGTTGTGGAAAGTGTTAACGAATGATAACCCTTTGTTTTAGAAACGAAAAGTCTTGATTGAAGTTAATGAACCAACCAACTGACGTTAGAGAAATAACTGATTCTTATGCTTTTTTGGGACTAATAAATCCTGTTATTTTATTGTACAAATCAGAACTTTAAGCAAACACTCTCACAGTCATCAATCCAAGAATGCCAGTGATAAAATGGCACGACTGTAAGCCGCTGAAAATTCGGAGCACATGTCATTTACTTACCCCTGTTGTCATATGAGCAGCGAGAGCTTGACATGCTTCACAATCTTTCGTGTCTTTCATATAAAACTCTTTTGTAAAGTTGTGGTTCAAAATAACACCAGACGCGTCGAAATGGACTGACACTGATTCTCCTGCACAGAGCCCTGCCACAAGACATTTAGTTGGGATGACCTCGATGAAATAGTTTTAATCTTTGTAATTATGAATAATACATATAACGATTTGGCGATGGCACTTTAGATCGCCGGTTGACCTTGTACCCTACAATTCACATACTAACCGATAGGGGGAAAAGGAAGAGGACAACGACGACGACGATGAAAGTGATGATAATGATGATGATGATGATGATGATGATGATGATGATGATGATGATGATGAAATTTTATTTGAGTGTCAAGACCTCATAGCTTGGAACACCAATCCCATACTAATATAGGGAGTCGACTGGGGACACCAATAGATACTATTCTTGAAAAAGCATTCAAAAAAGATAGAACTTTGGTGAGTGCAAGGCGCTATGAGAAATGGGGATTGAAGAATCGTCATTAACGTTCGAATAGACGTAGTCATTGGTGTTGCTTAGGAAAAGAAACGCCTAGGTATGTATGTATATATATATATATAACAAGTAACACGTTTCTTTATGAACACAAGAGACCAATGAAGCACCTGATCAATGATGGGCAATTTAACATCATCTTACCTGTGCACAGTCCAATGACAACAGGAAGCATCAGCCGTTTGAATAATGACTCCATCAGAATACCCAAAGGTCACTGTGAAAACAAGGATATCTGACCTTAACAACTAAAGCGTTTGATCGAACTAAATTTGGATTTAAAAACCGAAAACATTTTGCTCTTTTAATAGGTGAAATGCAAATCAAAACGTACAGTACGCGGCCAGTTTGGTCATTTTTCGGTCTCATATGCATCTTCAAACAGGGGCGAATTTCCATGAGAAATTGTAAATATAGGAAACACCGTACAGCAGGTTCTCTGATTTAAGGGTTAATGTGACTAATGCAAAAATTAAAACCACCGGGTTTTAATTTACTTTGTCAACTCAGGTTGATACATAGCTACATGTAAGTGGCCTCGTTTTCCCTTACGGAAACAGCGAGAATGTGCTCACTTGATCATAGAAAATGCAAAATAAAGAACATTTCTTCTTGTCATACCCTCCTTCAATCTCCAATCTAACTAATGACCAAGAACAAATTAAAATGAATCCGAATACACTTTATATAATCGGATAATTTTAAATCGGGCACCTTTTAATTTTGAACTAGTTTTTTGGAAATGGTAGAACTTCCGAATGTCTACCCTTAAAAGTCTCTGACCTATACATGTGTAGTTATTCTATATAATCACCATTCCCAGTCTTACCTTCCCAGGACGAAAACGAGCAGGCAGGCAAGTTTTAAAAGATTAAAAACAGGAAAATAAGCCCTTTCAGTTACATGTAACTAATTTTGCTGTGTTAAATTATTCTCCAGACGTCTATTTCGCATTAATTTGCAAGCAGTCATCTGCATGCAGTCATGTAATTGAAAATGGAACATTTGTTTTTTCTTCACACGAAAGTGTGAAGAAATCGATGTTTTGATCAATCAAAAATGACATTTTTTACCTTTGCCTGACAGTTTGTGACGGCCACAAGGTTATTACAGTCCTTTCATCGCCGTGAAGTCGCGAGGTTGGCACTTCCGTAGCGTCTGAAGCCTGACCCTTTAAATTGTTTACAATTTAAACACTGGACACAAATATTGACTGACCCGGATTAATTTTGTAGCAAATACCAGAAGAAATAAATTTCGGTAGGAAAAAGAGAATTACCTTTGTGCCCTGAGTAATTTCTGAAATTCGCAAAGAACACAAAAAAAGTTTAACATGAGTCGCCCAAATTACGGTTTCAGTTTCCAAGTTCATTTTGACTCATAACTGAAAGGAAATATGTTGAAGTCAAATACCTTGATGCCTCAGCTAATTTAGGGTAGAATTTTCTACTTTCAATACTGACGTACAATTTGATTGCAATTTTTCCTTTACCATACTGAGAAGGGCAATCAGGTGAACTGAATAAATGTGATTTAAATCAACAGTGATATCGCAATGCTCTAGCCAGACAGGGATGTATTACCTTTCAACCCAAGAGTTCGTCCTCTCCGTTTGAATATAAGTAGAAACAAACGCTGAAGAGCAGACTCTTAGTTTTCACAATATCCCTCGATAGCTTCAAACTGAGAACACGCGTAACAACAACTTGCTGTGGCAAGGACAAGGAAATGGAGAGCTATGCAAACCCGACTGGACATATACCGCTGTGTAAATTACGCACAGTTTATACTTGTGCGAGGCTTGCACAACGCAGGCTTGTGAAAATATTTACACAAGACTACACGTGATCTGCCAATTGAGGGTAGACTGTCAGTTAAGTTCCTAGGCCAAATATAGAGCAACTGAAGTTCAGCGGTTCTCAAAACATAGTGTCAGTGTGCGATTTACATCTAAGTGATGACGTCAACTGTTAGATCAGCCGAGGTCTTTCACAAATACCTATGTTGACAGGGCAATTAATGTATGTAACCCGAGATTATGGAATAATCTGCCACTTGCCTTGCATTGCGTAAGTCGAACTCTATCCAGAACTTCAAAAGGAGCCTTAAAATATACCTCTTTAATTAGTTTTGAACAGCCACTCATTGTTTTGTAGACATTGTTATATTTTCGAACTGTACTTTGTTTTTCAACCTTGTCCCTTTTGTATATAGATTTTATTACTGATTGTGTAGTTTAACACATTTCTAAAGCGCCATGAAAGTAGGTGATAACAATGGGTTGACAGGCCTACACAACTCCTATCCACGTGTCATAGCCGCTTTGAGAGTTTTGCTCGAACTAGTATATCTTTGAGGATCTGCCC